TAGTGATCCGTTCCCAGGTCAGCACCCCTGAACACTCGCGTATCAATCACCTGTTTTCGCAGTCGATCATCCACCAGGAACAAATCGATGATACTTCTCTCATTCTTTCTTTCTCTAGTATACATATGGATTTTCTTGTGATTAAACATAGCGTTTGTCACAAGAAGATCCTTTTCCTTGCATACCGCCAGTATAAGTTTGCCAACATCATTAACCTTTTATCGCTAAACTTTCCAAGTACCGACTCGTACCCTGGTCGAGCGGTACCAACCCATCCATTCAAATCACCACATACAACAATTCTTTCGTTTCCCCTAGCCAAATCTAGAACTTCACTTACATTCCCCCAAAATTCCTCCAGCTCAGCCCTGGACGACGAAGCTACCGGCGCATAAACAGCCAAAAGGAATAGCTTCGTCAGTCCCAATTTAAAGCGAACCCAGAGAAGTCTTGAGTTCACAACCTTATATTCAGTCATAACATCGACCAACCGAGAAGACAGCAGCACCCCCACTCCCTGGCAGGCGTTCTCGCTCTCCGGGACTCCGGACCATAGAGCTAACGCCCCGCCAGGGAGCTCTTCAGTACCACTGCCCTTCCGTTTGGTCTCCGACATACACACGACATCTAATTCTCTTTCTTTCATTATTTCGATCAACTCATTCGTCTTATCTCTCATGCCTCCTCTAACATTCCACGTGCCAACTCTGCACTCTGTCCTCCACCTTCCGCCGTGTCGGGCTGTGCGTGACGGGTGGCGGTCCCCATCGCCGCTTTGCGCGCTGCATTCCACACCAACGGGGACGAGCTGGTGTGCGTCGCCTTGGGGGGACGCCCTAACCCTCGTTTGCATGGGTGCGCAGCTGAGTAGAATTGCAGCCCTGAAAAGGGCTGGCAGGGGTCGCGACGAGCACGCTTCTACAATGACCCCCGAAAGATAAGATAAGATATTTTATTTACTAAAACATGTGTGAGATATACATTGCAGGGGCAGATATATATTCTTGGTGTTAGTGTTATTAGTATCAACATGTCTTACCGATATTCGGTGTGTAAAATTTAAAGTGTTATGTTGTTAGTTTTCATTTAACATTAGCAGTCTATTAATATACAACGTCAGTGAAATTATTACTTACAACAATTATAATTAAAAGTATATGTATGTATGTATAAGGCAATTATATAATGTCAAAATTTATCATTAAGAAAGTCAGTTACTGTGTAGTAGCATTTTTCAATTAAAAGGTTTTTGAATTTATTTTTAAAAAGATTGCTGTTCAGTGATTTATACATCTGAGGAATTTTATTATAGATTTTAGGAGCCATGCATACTACACTCTTTCTTAGCAGAGCCGTTCTTGCTTGTTGCAAGCAAGAACGATGGTTCTCATATTCATTTTTGGAGGGAATGAATGGTTCGTCTGACCATGTTTTTTTTTATAGGATAAGGGTGACAAACGAGCACACAGTCCACCTGATGGTAAGTGGTTGCTGCAGCCCATAGACATCTACATCTATTCTCTATTCCAAATCAAAATGTAGATGCGTTGTCACCCGTGAGGACTAAGACGGAATACCTCATTTCCAGTAAAAAGGGCCTCCGGCCACCTGCACTCTCCAAGCGAAACGCAGAGGTAAACCTCTACTTCACGCTGGTATTCTGTGAGGGCGTGGTACCACCCCGGTTCGGGCCGGCCCATCCGTGCGACAGCAAAAGCTGCCAAGTGGCTCTACCACTGTTATAAGTTATAATTACATTAATCTAATAATCGCTGTTTCGAATTCCACACAGAACTAGTGTTATAAACACACGGTCGAAGATGGCGTGTAAGTGCGGTATAAGAGAATTCATCATCACATTTTGTCCCGTGGGTTTCGTAAGAGGCGACTATGGGTTTGCTAGAAAAATCTGATGGCTTCCGACAGATGGCGGTATAACCACCTCGTTTACTTCAGATGTAAAATATCCAGACCGGCGCCAGGCGACATTGCCAGAGGTGCTCACGTCTGGTTTTGCGATCGTCAGTCCTATGCCAAGCGTGACTCTCAAGGCAAATCCTTCCTGCGTAGGTAGAGATCCTTCCATGTTCAGCAGTGGAAGTTTACGGGAAGATTAAGATTCGACGGAACCCGTATTGAAGGTCACTAATCAGCTTATGCTCTTCAAGGTACCACGTGACGCGTGAGCTGGCAGTTAATAATGGATTCCATTATTTTGGAGAACTAGAAGGTGATGGTGATAGGCCTGTATTTGGATAGGTCCCAGCCTTTTTTAGGAATCGCATGCACTACGGCTGCCTTTCATAAGGTTGGAACGACACCTAAGGAGTACGAGAACATGACATAAACATAAAAATAACATGAACATAACACAACAACTGCATTATAACTTTGTAATCTATACTAATATAATAAATTGGAAGGGTTTTTTGTTTGTTTAAACACGCCAATCTCTGGAACTATCAGTCCGATTTGAAAAAATGATTTTCTATATTATAGCCAGATCCATGAGGAGGAGGAATAGTATAGCATTAGGCTACTTCTCTCAGTTAACATTAAATATTGATTTTTGCTAACCCGTCAAGCACTAGGAAATTTCATTTTTTACGCGCCAAACGTCAGGGCCTGTACGGAAGGTCTCCAGCTACTGGCAGGCACTAATGTAAGAAACTTAACAATCGAAGCTAGATGCAGAGCAACAACGAAAAGACTTACATGAAAGTTAAAAAAACCGCTATTCCACATTTATTCCTCTATTGGAAAACAGTAGAGAGAAATATAAATGGAACCGGAACGCTAATAAAAAATCGTATTCATAAATACGAGAGGTGATCCAAAAGTAATTATAATAGGTTATTTCCAGAGCACATTAAAATCCGAAAAAAAATTTTGTTTGCTCTTGTACCCACTAGATTAGAATTTAAAAAAAATTCCGAGATGTACATTCATTTGAATACGAATCCTCAAAGAAATAACAATCTACATTGAGAAAAATTAAACGAGAGCTCCCTCTGTTTCAAAAAAATGTCTACCAAAGACGTGTATGACTTGATGAAACATTGAGGGACTCTGCTCCTCCATATTCCACAGTTGAACGCTGGGCCAATTAGATTAAGTTGGGCTGAACATCCACGGATGATAAACATCGCGAAGGAGGCCCATCCACATCCCTCACTGAAGATAACGTGAAAAGAGTCGAAGACGTCGTATTGGTAGATCGAAGAGTGACCATCAGGCATATAGCTGACGTCACAGGGATCTCATATGGCAGTGTTCAAAGAATCCTCGCGAACGAATTGCACATGGAAAGGATCTCTGCGCGTTGGGTACCGAGAATGTTAACCGACGAGCAAAAGAAATAATTTATCGACATATCGAGGGTTAATCTCGAAAGGTTCTAAGCAGATCAGATTTTTTTTATTACGTTTCGTGACCATGGGCAAGACCCGAATCTACCATTTCAATTTTGAAATCAAACAATAATCAATGGTTTGGAACCGAGCCTCCTCCAGACGCCAAAGAAATTCAAAGTGCCAAGTTCGGCGGGAAAAGTTATGGCGTCCGTTTTTGAAGGAATAATTATGGTGGAATATTTGGAAAAGGGAGCCATTATTTCGGGCTTATACTCTCCACTACGCAGACCAAATAAGAAAATTGCAGGAAGCTATTAAAGAAAACGACGCGGCAAATTGCGAGCGGGAGTGCTGTTTCACCAAGGCAACGCTCCGGCTCACAAAGCCGCAGTTGCGATGGCTGCCAACAAACAGGATTTGAACTGTTCGAACACCCAACCTATTCACCAGATCTAGCTCTCAGTGACTTCTATCTATTTCCTCGGCTCAAGGAACACCTTCGAGGCAAGAAATTTGTAGACGATAGCGAAGTGATGGACGCTGTTGAGGCTTTTTTGGAGAGTGCAGATAATTTTTTTTTTCTAAGAGAATTCTGGGATTAGAACAAAAATGGACTAAATGCATTGACTTGTTAGGAGACTATGTGGAAAAATAAATTATTTTTTTAACAATAATCACCGTGTTTAATATTCATTATCAATAATTACTTTTGGATCACCCCTCGTACTCACATCCTAAAAATAACTGAAATCGCAAGGGATGTTAAAAAACGGCAGAGGTGGCTTCGACCGCGTAATAAGGCAAGACAAAAAGATTATTAATAGAATCAGACGTTACATTGCGAAAATCCATTATATTAAACACTACCTGATAATCGCTCGCTTCGCTGGGCGCACGATATTTTATTGCGGAACCTAGATGTGACTAAAGTAATTAAGTATTTAAAGAACAAAATTTTGTATGTATAGTACATCTCCAACTACTTGATGCAAGAGATAGGAGATGAACATGATTCCATACAAGCTTGGGCCCAGCGTAACGCAAAAACCACGAAAGTAAAAACACGAAATCTATCAAAAAAAAACAGCTACAATTCCAAATGCGCATGCCGCATGACAAGCTGAAACTCGAAGTTAACAAGTTAAATCTCCTTCGGAATATGCAATGGTCAATGACCATACAGCCTATTCAGTCGTTAATATTCAAATATTTTCCATGTTTTATGACATAGCCTATTCAATCGTTTTCTAAATATATTATTTTATTCAATGTTAATCACTACAGATTCACGTCAATGTTTCAATATTATGATTTTTTTTTTAATAAGGAAGGCTATTTTATTTTAAAAATAGCCTTTATTATCTATTGCCATAGACAAAATAAAGAAAGATATTTAAAAACTTTTCGTTATTGCTAAAGCAAAAGCATTAGCTTTGTATTTCAGTTTAAAAAAAATGTTTTTATCACTGTCCCAAGCATTACAGAGATAAAAACCATTTATTTTATGCTTATAAGTTATCATTTTATTACCTCCATATTTTTGTATGACTGTTAGAAACGATGTCAAGCACCCAATTTCATACATCCCCCTTGTGGAGATTTCTTTTTATTTTTTGATAAAGGTTTTTTTAACATAAATTCATTTACCTATGTCATCGTCATCTTTTTTACTCTTTGAACCAAATGCAATTAGCGGCAAGTCGTCCTCCAACTCCGTCTGTCTATCTTCAAAAGCATCAATCTCCAAATCTTCTTGTTTTTCAGCATTCTCTAGAATTGTCAGATTCTCACTCAATATATAAAATAATTACTGATAATTTTTACAAGCGACTAGATCATTACAGTTATCACACAGCTTATGGGCCTGAGCCACCCCCTTCATTACCATACTGCATGTTTCATAAACTAAGTGTAATAAGCTGAAGTGGCAATGGGCCGAAGAACCGACAAACCGATGGGGAAGAGAGGTTCTCGAGTGGCAACATTGTACTGGTAGACGTAGTGTAGGGCGGCCCCCACCAGATGGAGTAACGACCTGGTAAGACTTGCAGGAAGTCGATGGATGCAGGTGGCTAAGGCCCGTGCTTTGTGGCATTCCTAAAGAAATTGGCAAAAACAGGTTTCTTACCAGTTGTAAGTATATCATTAATTCCTATGAAATTAATCCATCTTAGTGACGTACATACTGCCTGCATTTAAACAGGGTCAAAATGTTTTTAAAATATGTTAATAAATAAGTAAAAAAAAAATATCTAAGGAAGCTCATTATTTGATAGGAATAACCTAATGCGACAGCGTAGTTGTTCTCATCCAAAACAAAATGGGTGTGTAGTGAACTCACTCAAGGTGTAACAGAATAGGTCACTATCTTCAGCCATTCTATTAAGAATGCGTAACGTTTGTGTTAAAGGCACTTTGTCGAGTAAATTGGTACCCGTCTGGAACACACGGCCTAATCCGCCCCAATCATCATCATTTCATCATCATCATTACAGCCTTTCATAAGTCCACTGCTGAACATAGGCCTCCCCCAAGGAATGCCACAAAGCACGGCCCTGAGCCACCTACATCCATCGACTTCCTGCATGTCTTACAAGGTCGTCACTCCATCACGTGGGGGGTCGCCCTACACTTCGCCTACCGGTACGAGGCTGCCACTCGAGAACCCTTCTTCCCCATCGGTTGTCGGTACTTCGAGCTATATGGCCAGCCCACTGCTACTTCAGCTCATTTCTAAGTTTATCACGCAGAGAAACCCCGAGCATAGCCCTCTCCATAGCTCGCTGAGCGACCTTGAGCTTCCTCATACGGCCAGCAGTGAAGGACCACGTCTCAGATCCGTAAGTCATCACTGGCAACACGCACTGGTTGTACAATTTCGTTTTCAGGTTTTGAGGTATGTCTAAAGAGAAGATGTGTCGTAGTTTCCCGAACCAGAAAACCCAGCCGAGTTGAATCCGTCGATAGACCTCTCGGTCGAAGTTGGACTTACCTAGTCGGACTATTTGTCCCAGGTAAACATACTCGTCAACAACTTCAAGGTTAGTGCTCCCAACAACTACCGGCATAGGTGTGACAAGGACGTTAAGCATGATTTTCGTTTTGTCCATGTTCATCTTAAGAGCTATCCGTTGGGAGACACTATTGAGGTCATTGAGCATGGTGCTTAGTTCCTCCAGCGATTCTGCAATAAGAACTATATCGTCGGCAAATCGAAGGTGAGTGATGAACTCACCATTGATGTTAATACCGTATCCTTTCCAGTCCAGAAGCAGTGCATGCGTTGTATGTTGCCAGGTCGAGTCGTCTTAGGTGGCAACCGAACCTCCACCGGAGATTCTTAGCACCTTCTGCCCTGCCGTAACCATGGTCGCCACCGTAGCCAGGAATAGCGGCGCCGCCGGGGACTGGGGGCCGTCTCTTTGTTACATTCATAGGGGGGTATTTGCCATAGTTGCCACGCTTGGCGAGCGGGTTGGCAACCGCAGTTTTATTATTGTATTTTTGCTGTTATCAGGAAGATGCTGCTGCCCATCTCCTGCCTGTTTCCCTTTGTCGCCTTTTACAACACCCACGGGAAGATATGGGGTAGTGGATATTCGTAATCGCCACTACACGGCAAGCCCCAATATGTCACTATAATATTATTTCGTGTCCATGGGCTACAGTAACCACTTGCCATTAGGTAACTTTTAGCTTATTTTAATAATATCACAAAATGTGTATATCTTACCTATTTCATGATTCCCATTTTCTTCAAAATTGTAATTCTCATTTTCAAAATTCTCTTTCTCAACTTTAACAGATTCAAGGCTAAACATTTCGTTCTTACAATCATTTTCTATATCACACTCTACTGGCCTGATATCTATATGACTAATTGGTGTGAATTGAATCTTATGCGATTTTGGTATTGACTGAAACCAAATAAATATTTTAAATAAGAGAAAAAGCCAGTTTAGTGGTGCCATAGAAGAATCCATACTACCATACAATCCCGCAGATGTCGTAAAAAGGGACAGAGGGAAACTGAAACAGGAGATGGGCAGCAGCATCATCCTGACAACAACTCCAAATATTAATAAAATCCAGACAAAAGGAGGGTTTTGAATAAAATTAAATAAGAATGAAGATAGTTCATCCATCCCGAGCATCGAGTCTCAACAATTTTTCGAAACAGATTCACGAATGCTATAAACTGACAAAGATATTTGTTGATTTTTGTTTACTGAGTAATATTACATATACATAGATAATATTTCGTTTATATACAATAGATTATAAAGAGCCGTGATAGTTCAGAAGGTTAACGCTCGATGTAAGCTTCATAGTACGCGAGCAACCCGGGTTCGGTCCCCGAAGATGCAACATAGGGAAACAGAAATAGGACTTGGGTAACAGCATCTTCCTGATAACAACTCAGACCAATATAAACTGCAGTTACCAACCTGCCAAGCGTGGCAAATTTGGTAAAATCGCTCCTATGAAGCAATCAATGTGGGACTTATATAGTTTTTAATGGATGGAATGGGTAATACCATGGACCCTCCTGCAAGCAACTGCTCCAGAACTGTTTTTGACTCAATAGCCTGTTGTTGCAATGTACTGCAACGAATGAGTCTTGCATGACAGGTGAAACAGACAATAATGGGCTCCTCATCCTCATCCATCTGAAAATATGAAAGTTCATCATAAATTTGGAAAACTACTTAAATATACAAGTTTGTAATAAACACACAATTCTCTTCATCAACATCACTTTTTTACAACATTGAAGTAACAAATAAACTTACAATCCACCTAATGGTAAGTGGCTGCTGCAGCCCATAGGCACCTGCAACGAACTTCAAGCAAAGGCTACAGATGCAATGTTACCTCTGAGGACTAAGATGTAATGCTTCACAGCCTGTTATTTTTAGCCTTTGATACAGTTTCGATTCCCATACCACTCATTCGTTCGGAAAGCTTGGGCATAAGAGGTGTTGTCTATAACTGGTTTAGGGACTATCTATCAGATAGACGCCAACGAGTCAGAATTTACAAATAAATCAGCACTTCCTCTTGCTCTTATGGTGTACCACAGGGAAGTTTCTTAGGTCCTTCGCTCTTTCTTCTTTATATTAACGAATTGTGTAAAATCAATATAAAAAATGCCGATTTAACTATTTTTGCTGACGATCCTGTATTAATTTTTCATGGCGTCCCTTGGGATAAAGTAGCCCAACTCACAGAAAATGGTCTTAGATTAGTGACTAGTTAGCTTGAAGATTTTAGAATTAATATCCCTTAATGTTACCTATGTTTCAGTAAGACTAATGCTTCCCTTCCAACTAGAAACTAAAATTACTATCCACAGGTACCCTTGCAATCGCACTGTAAACTTAACACTATATCAATGTAGTAATTTAGTCAAAACAGATTTGATCAGATATCTTGGTGTAATCATTGACATAAATTAACTTGGGAGGCCCATACTGATGCAGTGGCTAATAAACTAAGAATATTCATTTATATATTTAAAAGTTTACGGACAGTGACCAATCACAAACTACTCATTAAAACATACAAAGCACTGGGAGAGTGTGTCTTTAATTACTGCATTTGTTCTTGGGGCGGTACCACTAAAAGTTATGTAATTAAGGTTGAATGCGCACAAAGAGCTAAGTATCTTAAAAGTAATCTTTCGTCTAACATTTCACCAATCAACAGTATCTGTATAATATGACAGAGAAAAAGTGTCATCTGTTTGCAAAATATTTCTTTTTCAAAGTTTAAGGAGATATCATTGTATCACTGTCCCTAAACTAAAACTTAAAAAAAAAAGGATGGAACGATCTCCTATTCCAAGACCAAATAGTGCTGTGTTTAGAAGACATTCTGACTGTTTGGCCCCTAGGCTATACAACAAAATTATAGAGATCATAACATAAGATCACTAAATAACTTAGATGTAAAAAGCTTCAGCTTATGTCAGTTATTTCAACTGCCTATCTGCTAATTTCTTTTTATACATAAGGGTGACAACCGAGCACACAGTCCACCTGATAGTGAGTGAATGCCCACAGACATCTACAATTTATCCTCAATTAAAAACCAAAATGCAGATGTGCTGTTGACCCTTGATAACAAAGACGGAACACCTTGCCTCAGTAAAAAGGATGTCCGGTTCTCTACACTCACCATACAAGCCAGAGCAGCATTAAGTTGCTATTTAATGCCGGTATTCTGAACGAGCATGATACCACCCTGGTAGAGCTGGCCAACCGGTGATACAACCATAATACATCTGCAGCGTGGCTCCACTACATATAAAATAATGATAATAATGCTCTACAGACAGAATTTCACACATGTCACAATGGAGACTATTTATCAGTGCATGACAGGATTATATTGCATGTGTGTGTAAGCAAGCACATGTGCACATTATTCCCTTCTCTGATTTCCGCCAGATAGGAATATGAGAAATATGAGAGTGAAGGAATTTCTGTGTCTGTAAGCACATGTGCACTCTAATCTCCCACTTTAATAGTCCAAATATGGGTGGATGTTAATTTCTTAATAGAAAATCGCAATAATACTCAGTAATTGTAATAATATGTACTAGAACAGCCACCGCGAAAATATCTAAACCGCAGTGCGGGTCGCGTGGAAGTTGAGCCCACGGGCTCTAACACGTGTTACAGACTACTATGTCTCGGTTTCTCTTCAAGTACGTAGTAGGATTTCGGGCTAGTTGTTGTTTTTCAGAATCTGGTTGCATTTGTCTGGTTGCACTATATTTAAAGCTGCACCTTAGCTTAGCCCGATCTATCGCATTTTATATCAGGCATGTTATACGGTATTTCTAGGGCGATAACAACAAATTACCGCAACTTCAATTTGCAGTATTAAGAAATATTAACAAACTTACAAAACTGTTCGTCAATGTTTTATACAAATTTCGGAGACTAGTCTTCTTTAGAACAAACATGCGTACATTAATGCATAAACAAATTCTACAAATTTCACTAAAGGCCATTCTTGTTTCCTATAGCTTTAATATAATTGGATTCACTTTTACATCAATAAACAGGAGTTTTCAAAAAACAATAAAATGCAGTAAGGCCGAGTGCAGTAACCAAAACAAAATAATTTTTTAGGCGCATGACAGCATTGAAAGTTACCAGTCAATTTGACAGTTTTTGTTGTTGTTATTATTCGCTCGAGGGAGCAGGCAAAGGAACTATGCCATACAGTCTTATCTTCATGTATAATAATCCTTCATAGTTCACTGATTCACAATATGTTGATGCGTCACATTGTGCAACCCTTGAGAAATTTTGACGGCAACTTGAGCCAGCAGGCAGCTGACAGTTGGCGATGGTATCTAAAGGCGCCTATGCAAACAAACAGCTTATCTTGAGAATCCATCACCATCAGAGCACTTGTTTCACAGTTTCCACTAATAGTTCACATGCGCAGACACTTAATACACAAAATCGCACCACTTTTACATATCAAAGTCTACTTCAAACCATTATTTAAACAATAATACAGGAGCAGCAAACCGCCGCCGGTCAAGTTCCAGCCAAAAAACTCTCAATGTGACAGCCATTGACAGCATCAAATCTCCATTACATGTTTTATTAACCGGTTCAGTGCGGGTGACACGACAAGCGTGCCATCAATTATTTTTGTGTGTGGCGTATGACACGCGAGCCGTGTCTTTTTAAAAATCGTTATAACTCGCTCAAATTGCTTTTTTGGAAAATTTATCCAGAACAAAATATTCATTATTTTGCGAGTAGTTCATGCATGCAGCTTCGTTTCTGGATATTTTGAAAATTTGAAATATTTAGGGGTTGACAACCTTTTTTTCACGTGTACATGGTATTATTTTTACTTTGTGGATTTTAAATCATGTTATGGAAAAATAGTCTAATAAGTAACAAATAGTAGCACTCATTGCGATCGCTCACAAACTCAAGTTGTAAATAAATTTCTGGAAAACAAGTCTCCTGGTAAAAAAAACAATGCGTTTGTCTTATTGTTTAATTTTGCTTAAAATGCTTGAACTGCCGTCTTATTACTATCATATGGCGGAATAGAGCTACGAAGTACCACGTGCTCTTGTGATATGGTATAAGGTTCATTTTTGCTTGAAACAGTTCGAAACCGTTCATGCAAAAAAACTGCATGGCAACTATGGCAAATATGACGCAATCCACGTGGGACGCCTATGTTCAACAGAGTAGTTTTAAAGGCTGTACCGGTAACGATAAACGGCAAAGCGAAAAAAGAAAAACGTAAACTATCATTTAAATTAAAAAAAAAACATGAGCGGTCTAGTCTGTTTCAACTAACCTCCATTCACACATTCGGTATTTATTTTAAGGTTCCAATATTTTTTGCTTTCTACCGACTTCAAAAAGGAGGAGGTACTCAATTCGACTGTATGTTCTTTTTTATGTTTATTACCTCTTAACTTTTTCTGCATGAACCGATTTCGATAACTCTTTTTTTATTTGAAAGCTGATGCTTCACATGTCTGGTTTCATATAAATTTGATCAAGGTCTGACCAATAGGTTTTGAATTATTCTTAATAATTTATATTGAATTCGGTTGCACAAAATTTTAAATTAGGTATTGAATTAACATCTTCACAACAAATGCAGTTTCAATTTGCACATAAGGCACGGAAAGGTTTTTTTACTAATTATACAATTACATCACAAATTAACAAATCATTGATTTTTATTTGGTACACACATATTTATATAAAACACGTTTACACAATATTGTACATATTTTACCAGATAGCTCACGAAAAAGGTTTTGCTCCAGTGTGTGTTTTTAAATATCTTTGCAAATTATCTTTTGTAATACATCTATATTCACAGATATTACACGAAAAAGATTTTTCACCGGTGTGTATTTTCATATGTGTTTGCAAACGACTTTTTCTAACACATTTATATTCACAATTATTACAACAGTACATTTGTTTAGCGACGTGCGCTTTAAGATGTGCCAAAATGTAACGTTTTTGAGATGTTTTAAATTCGCAAATATCACAATTAAATATTTCTGTTTGTTGTGGTACTGGAGTTTGTTCAACTTGTGTCCGAACTGCAGTGGTGTCTGAGTACTTTTGCGTCTTATGACTATATGAAATGTGTTTGGCGAGAATGTCTTTTGTTGGAAATTTTTTACTACAATCATCACATTTAAAAATGCATTTAGTTGATGTCCCAGATGTCTTTTTCTTAAGAATATTTACACTCTTTTGTTTCAAAATTTTGTTTTTCATAATCTTTGCAGGATGCTTTTCTTTTTTATTAATCGGTAGATTATCTTTTTTCATTTTAGGGTTTGATTCAATAGGAGGGCCTTCAAGGTCGAGGTTTTCTTCACGAACATCGTTTATGTTAAAATCAGTAGAATTTGATTTAATCTTCTTCTCAGAAGTTGCTGAAAAATTATTTGTCGAAGTTAAACTTTTTATTTATTGTAAGTTATTGCATTTTTATTACAAGACACCTTAAACGGTTTACAATTGACGGAGTTTATGCGTTATGGCATTCTCTATCAGTTAACCCAGGGAGAAATAAGGAAATTATAATATTTTACAAAATAATACTAAATAATGTTGCTAGATTTAATCTAGTCAATTACTCTGAATAATGTCTCTCATATTCACTTTTAGAGGAAAATAATGGTTTTTCTGACCATGTTATAATTACATTAATCTAATCGCTGTACACAAGCTATACACAAAGTACGGTCGAAGTTAGCGTGAAAGTTCATGAGAGAATTCATCATCACATTTTATCCCGTGGATTACGTAAGAGGAGACTATGGGTTTTTCCAGAAAAATCTGATGGCTTCCGACAGATGGCGGTATAACCACCTGGTTTACTTCAGATGTAAAATATCCAGACCGGCGTCAGACAACATTGCCAGAGGTGCTCACGTCTGATTCTGCGATCGTCAGTCCTATGCCAAGCGTGACGCTCAAGGCAAATACTCCCTACATCGGGAGAGATTCTTCCATGTTCAGCAGAGGAAGTTTACGGGAAGATTTAGAGGAATTATTTGCAGGCCATACAAAGATTCATAACAAGCAAATTTCACAGTACGCTAGCAATCCAGGTCTGTCCTCCACTGGCACCAATAAAATAGTTAATTTTGTAAGTTTCCGTTCTATCGATCCTAACTGCTTCGATGGAAACCGTATTGAAGGTCACTAATCAGCTTATGCTCTTCATGGTACCGCGTGAGCGGGCAGTTAATAATGGATTCCATTATTTTGGAGAACAAGGAGGTGACGGCGATAGGCCTGTATTTGGATGGGTCGCAGCCTTTTTTAGGAATCGAATGCACTAAGACTGTCTTCCATAAGCTTGGAACGACACCTAAGGAGTAAGAGGACATGACATAAACATAAAAATAACAAGAACATAACACAACAACTGCATTATAACTTTGTAATCTATAAAAATATAATAAAGTGGGAGGGTTTTTTCATGAGGAATAGTATAGCATTAGGCTACACCTCTCAGTTAATCTTAAATATTGATTTTTGCTAACCCGTCAAGTCAAGTGCTAGGCCATTTTACTTTTTACGCGCCAAACGTCTAAATAAATAGGCTACGATTCTCGAGAGGTACATTCATTTGAATACGAATCATCAAAGAGATAACATGAAAATGAAGAAAAATTTAATGAGAGCTCCCTCTGTTAAAAAAAAAATTACCAAAGACATACACAGCGACTTGGTGAAACATTGAGGAACTCTGCTCCTCCATATTCCACATTTGCACGCTGGGCCAAGGAGTACAAGCTGGGCAGAACATCCACGGAAGATGAACATCGCGAAGGACGCCCATCCACATACCTCACTGAAGTTAACGTGAAAAAAGTCGAAAATGTCGTATAGGTAGATCGAAGAGTGACCATCAGGCATATAGCTGACGTCACAGGGATCTCATATGGCAGTGTTCAAAGAACCCTTGCAAACGAAGTGCATATGGAAAGGATCTCTGCGCGTTGGGTACCGAGAATTTTACCGACGAGCAAAAGAAAAAATTTATCGACATATCGAGGGTTAATCTCGAAAGGTTCAAAGCAGATCAGATTTTTTTTATTACGTTTCGTGACCATGGGCAAGACCCAGATCTACCATTTCGATTTTGAAATCAAACAATAATCAATGGTTTGGAACCGAGCCTCCTCCAGACGCCAAAGAAATTCAAAGTGCCAAGTTCGGCGCGAAAGGTTATGGCGTCCGTTTTTGAAGGAATAATTATGGTGGAATATTTGGAAAAGGGAGCCATTATTTCGGGCTTATATTCTCCACTACGCAGACCAAATAAGAAAAATGGAGGAGGCTATTAAAGAAAACGACGCGGCAAATTGCAAGCGGGAGTGCTGTTTCACCAAGACAACACTCCGGCTCACAAAGCCGCAGTTGCAATGGCTGCCAAGAAACAGGATTTGAACTGTTAGAACACCCAACCTATTCGCCAGATCTAGCTCTCAGTGATTTTCTATCTATTTCCTCGGCTCAAGGAACACCTTCGAGGCAAGAAATATGCAGACGATAGCGAAGTGATGGACGCTGTTGAGCCTTTTGGAGGGTACAGATATTTTTTTTTCTCAGAGATTTCTGTGATTAGAACAAAAATGAACTAATTGCATGGACTTGTTAGGAGACTATGTGGAAAAATAAATTATTTTTTTAACAATAATCACCGTGTTTAATATTCATTATCAATAATTACTTTTTTTATAGTATAGGGTGACAAACGAGCACACAGTCCACGTGATGGTAAGTGGTAGCTGTAGCCCATAGACATCTACATCTATCCTCAATAAAGACTCAAGATGCAGATGCGTTGTCACCCGTGAGGACTAAGATGGAATGCCTCTTTGCCAGTAAAAAGGGTCTCCGGTTCTCTACACTTACCATACGAAACACAGCAGCGTTAAGCTGCTATTTTACGCTGGTTTTCTGTGAGAGCGTGGTCCTTCCCCGGGCGAGCCGACCCATTCGTACTACAACTATACTACTATTATAGCCGCAGCATGGCTCTACCACGTAAGCGATCACCCCTCGTACTCACATCCTAAAATAACTGAAATCGCAAAGGATGTTAAAAAACGGCAGAGGTGGCTTCGACCGCGTAATAAGGCA